ACATTTTTATCAGCACCAGTGGGGATATCTGTGAAAATGAATGTTAACTTTTAAGTCCTTTTTAAAATTGAGTGAACGGTTTTGTTGACTACTGTATATGATAACTCAGATAGTGCATCACAGCCTACCGTCCAATATGGTTTAGCGCAATTCAATGTTTTTCACTCAAGTGCAGTTCTGAACTGCTGTCATACTCTTTGTTAAATTGCTATACAGTACAATTCAGTCAACATGAGGTTAATAACTCATGGGCTTCCAATATTGTTTATATGTTCTTCTTTAAGCATTCCGTACCAAAGATAGCCCAGAAATACAAATGAAGAAAATGTCCAGATAGAGCTCAAGCGACTTAAATAAATGTTGTCCATCTGATGAAAGGAAAAAACCCCCACACCTTTATCTTCTATTCAAAAGACAAAGAGTTACCATTTAGTCTTCATTTTCTTCAAAGTATCTATGAATGAAAAAATAATAGGAGCCCAACAATTTGAGTCAGTGGACTTTTTCCATTGCTTAAAATGAATTAAGGACAATGGGTTTTTTTTGTTGCTAAGAGTGCATGAGGATTTTGTGTTTGATTAGAGGGTTTTAAATCTTTTTTTTACCTTTTTATATCTCTCAGACTATTGAGGACCTTGAGCAGAGAGTGAAAGAGGCTAACATTGACATAGCAGTGCGACAGAGCTTCCTCACAGACCCAACTAATGCAGTGCGCAACCTCAAGGTGAGCACATATTAAGAGCATTATAATTCTGTAAGAATTTACGGTAAAATTTGACTTCACCCCCCCACCCCCCTCACTATTCTTAGAATAAATTGAAAAAGTCTTTCACACTTGACCCCATGTATGACTACCCCAACAGAGAGTGGAGGCCCTGGATGTGAGTAGAAGGTCAAGTAAGTTACAAATAGAGGGCCGAAGCTTGACCTTTCCACTTTTTTCATTTTCAGATAAGTAAAGAGCAGGTTGTGATTCTTACTTTGATGCAAATGTCTTCCAATTGCCACGGAACTGTGATTAGATGAAAAGATTGTGTAATAATTTTTAAAGATTTTATGTTACAAAAGTGAAAAACTATGACTCATTCAGAAAATGAAACTGTTGTGGTACGATTATACCGTTTTCTCATTGGTAGCCTGCATTTTAATGAGTTGCCGTTTTACTGGACTATACTTTTGCAGAGACAAGATGCCAGAATAATTGTCGGAGTCTTCTATGAAGATATGGCAAGACGTGTGTTCTGCCAGGTAAGATATTTGGTAAATGTTTTGTTTGTAGTGCAAAAGTCTCCCTTCTGTTTGTCTTTTATAATTGATATTTGTCAAGTAAAATTAAAGTAAACGTGTTCTTGTCCTCTGGTCTCTGTCCGGAAACTTTCTGAAATTTTCAGAATTTAAGTAAATATTGGCATTTTTTTATGCTGTTACTCATTCGGTTTTTTGCTATGATGCAGAATTGTGATATTTTAAAGTCTGTTCAAACATACTATTGTTGAAGATCTCTTTAACTTTACTAGAAATCATTGTGTGCTCATGATTGAGTTTTTTTCAGAGACGAAGCACAAAGTAACAAAGAGAGAGAGAGAGAGAGAGAGAGAGAGAGAGAGAGAGAAAGGGATGGAGGGAATAGAGAGATAGTTTTTACACATAATATGGCCCTTTGTGTGTATTTTATGTGGTATATTTTATTTATAATTAATGTTACAAGATGTGGTGCGTTATTCCTTTTTAAAATCAAATTATTTATGGACTTATAATATACAGCTTACAGTTTCATTTAAAAAAAAACCCATTACGTTTCTGCAGTGCAAACCTGGACTGGGTACAAAGGTTTTATATAAACTTTTGTATGAAAAGCCCACTAAGCTTCTCGTCCTTACTGGCTGCAGCATTGTCTCCACTTTTGTAGCTCAAGCTGCCAAGATGTGGAAACTAGTTGTTGTGAGTTGGTTGTTATTTGTTTTTCTTGTTGTTAAAATTGTTTTGATAATAACATGACAGCTTTTATGATGAATGTCAATGCCTTTGCTATCTTTTAAAAGATTCTACAGAAGGATAGTTTGACTGTTACCGGCATATTATAGAGATGAAACAATAACACTCAAAAGTGATACAGACATGACAGTGATCCAACACGTGATGTGGGTCTGGAATAGACTCTCATTGAAGAATTTGTAACCCCTCAATACTTCTTGCTTGTTAGTCTGTGAAAGTAGAAGCTATGATCTGTATAACATTTCAGAGCAATTCTCCCCCCTTTATATAACAAAAACGAGGAAAGAGTGAGCAATTATAATGTGTTACAATGTGACCTTTTCTTTGCATTCTTTTTTGTTTTGCTTATATAGAAATAAATGCCAAGGGACAAGTTCAGTACGGCTAGCTGAATTCCACACTGTGCTACAAAACAGAGCAATTAGCTGAGTCATCTAACCTCCCTCACAGGGCGCCGCACTCTTGAGAAGAGAGTGGCTTGTGTGGCTCTGAAAACTTTATGCTGTTTGAAAAGCAAGTGAAAGTTCAAAGAAGAAAAAAATGGAACCCTTTTTTTATCAGTTTTGCCCAATTAAAAAAACCAAACTTGTGTAAAAGTTTTTATTTTCTGTTGTTGGTCTGGGTTGCAGTCTTTTTGTAGTTGCTCTTTGTCCCATAATATTATAATTGTTCCTTTAAAAAAATACTTCTCTTTTGTTACATATTATGCAAGCATTCACTATTGTTATCTCAGTTGTATGTAATCGTCATTACGTTGTCGTTAAAATCATCGTTATTGTTTTTAGTATATTATGATCTATAATTATTATTGAAATTCTCAGAGGAAAGAGGCATCTTCTAAAATTAAACCATTGTCTTTTCATTTGACGGAGTCATTTTAGCCAATGAATTTTACTAATTTCTCTTTGTAGCTGTCTTATGGAGGAAGCTCACCTGCTTTGTCAAACAGAGAAAGGTTTCCTACCTTTTTCCGAACTCACCCATCCGCCACATTGCACAACCCCATCAGGGTGAAGGTTTTCGAGAAATTTAAATGGACAAGGATTTCCACTATCCAGGAAACTCAAGAACTGTTCACTTCTGTGAGTAAGATTGTGAAGTTAAAAAACATTTTTCTTGTACATATCAATACCATGGGTGATCTTTGTTTAGGCTACAGGAAGGCTACAAAGCAGTAGTGTGTTATGTTCATTATTATGGTACTGAGATGCAGCAAATCAAGTTGCTCTTTTGTCTGATATGTGGACAAAAAATCTTGACAAAAGTTTAAAAGATTAGAAGTAATGAATGAGGCGCATAAAGAAAGTTTCAATATATCTTTTTCCTTCTCTTGTCAGTTTAACAAAAATAGCTCCCAGGTCCCTTTCTTGCAAGTTTAAGTCATAGGAAGTTCAGATTGGCGAAAGAGAAGCGAAAAGGAAGGCTGGACACTGATAAATATATTCAAAGATTTGTTCTCTCCTCTATTTGAATTACCATAAAAGATGTACCGAAAAATTCTTTTGGAGACATGTATATAAATGTATGTTTAATACTACTTTTGAAGAGTGATGTGCCTTTTATAGAAAGAGCAGGAACAGAGATTGGTCAAACAGAACTTTTTTTTCTCGAAAATGCAATGAAAAATGAAATGAGACATTTTTATCAGCACCAGTGGGGATATCTGTGAAAATGAATGTTAACTTTTAAGTCCTTTTTAAAATTGAGTGAACGGTTTTGTTGACTACTGTATATGATAACTCAGATAGTGCATCACAGCCTACCGTCCAATATGGTTTAGCGCAATTCAATGTTTTTCACTCAAGTGCAGTTCTGAACTGCTGTATCATACTCTTTGTTAAATTGCTATACAGTACAATTCAGTCATCATGAGGTTAATAACTCATGGGCTTCCAATATTGTTTATATGTTCTTCTTTAAGCATTCCGTACCAAAGATAGCCCAGAAATACAAATGAAGAAAATGTCCAGATAGAGCTCAAGCGACTTAAATAAATGTTGTCCATCTGATGAAAGGAAAAAACCCCCACACCTTTATCTTCTATTCAAAAGACAAAGAGTTACCATTTAGTCTTCATTTTCTTCAAAGTATCTATGAATGAAAAAATAATAGGAGCCCAACAATTTGAGTCAGTGGACTTTTTCCATTGCTTAAAATGAATTAAGGACAATGGGTTTTTTTTGTTGCTAAGAGTGCATGAGGATTTTGTGTTTGATTAGAGGGTTTTAAATCTTTTTTTACCTTTTTATATCTCCCAGACTATTGAGGACCTTGAGCAGAGAGTGAAAGAGGCTAACATTGACATAGCAGTGCGACAGAGCTTCCTCACAGACCCAACTAATGCAGTGCGCAACCTCAAGGTGAGCACATATTAAGAGCATTATAATTCTGTAAGAATTTACGGTAAAATTTGACTTACCCCCCCCCCCCCCTCACTATTCTTAGAATAAATTGAAAAAGTCTTTCACACTTGACCCCATGTATGACTACCCCAACAGAGAGTGGAGGCCCTGGATGTGAGTAGAAGGTCAAGTAAGTTACAAATAGAGGGCCGAAGCTCGACCTTTCCACTTTTATCATTTTCAGATAAGTAAAGAGCAGGTTGTGATTCTTACTTTGATGCAAATGTCTTCCAATTGCCACGGAACTGTGATTAGATGAAAAGATTGTGTAATAATTTTTAAAGATTTTATGTTACAAATGTTGAATAACTTTGACTCATTCAGCAAATGAAACTGTTGTGGTACGATTATACCGTTTTCTCATTGGTAGCCTGCATTTTAATGAGTTGCCGTTTTACTGGACTATACTTTTGCAGAGACAAGATGCCAGAATAATTGTCGGAGTCTTCTATGAAGATATGGCAAGACGTGTGTTCTGCCAGGTAAGATATTTGGTAAATGTTTTGTTTGTAGTGCAAAAGTCTCCCTTCTGTTTGTCTTTTATAATTGATATTTGTCAAGTAAAATTAAAGTAAACGTGTTCTTGTCCTCTGGTCTCTGTCCGGAAACTTTCTGAAATTTTCAGAATATAAGTAAATATTGGCATTTTTTTATGCTGTTACTCATTCGGCTTTTTGCTATGATGCAGAATTGTGATATTTTAAAGTCTGTTCAAACATACTATTGTTGAAGATCTCTTTAACTTTACTAGAAATCATTGTGTGCTCATGATTGAGTTTTTTTCAGAGACGAAGCACAAAGTAACAATTGAAAAGTAACATTGTAGATTCATTATGGTAAGAGGCGCTTAGTGGCATGGTAGTACCTTTTTCTTATTTTATTTTAAATCTTTTTTTTAAGTTGAAAAACTGTGAACATGTGATCTGGTATTGTGACACAGGGTTTACCCCCCCCCCCCCCAAATTCCTCCCCTCCTTTTTTATGACTCAGGTTGAACACTTTTCCTTTTCGGCAATTAAAAGTTTGATAAAAAAGCAGAAGAAAGCAGAATCAAAATATTGTCAGCTGACACAGGTGGGACTTGGAACATGCTGACACTCAGCGCTGTGAACCAGCCCTTTAACTCTTTGTATCCGGACAATGAATATACTTGTCACGAGGACAAGGCTGGGGCTATGAGTAAACTCGGAACAGCTATACGGTCACATCAAACAGCTCGTTCTGCTTGTTATTACCAAAATATGCAAATACCGCGATGTTAGCTCTGAATAGTTCAGTTTTCCAACGAACAGCTGTTACTTTGTTTTTGATGGGTGTAAAAGCTTGAAAAATGTCTAGAAAACGCATGTTCACGACCGATGAAGTACTTTAAGAAGTGGCCCTGAATTGTGAGAGTGAAGTAGACTATTCTGATGAAAGTGACTCTGAACCAAGTGCTGTAAATTCAATTTTGAATTAAAATGAACTGGAATTAGACTCATCCAATATTGATTCAGATTATGGGGAAGGGACCAATACTGGAATTTGTGCAGTATCGATGGCTTGAGGTAGATCTGTAAATGCAAGGGGAGGTCGTGTTTGGAGAAGGGGGGCGTGACAATCAGGGTCAAGATGGAGGGTGAAATACATCTCAAAATGTATACAGGGCAATTGATGTAACTTTTAACCAAATACATTTTCATTCAATTTCCAACATAACTGCCAAATTTAATTAAAAGTCTAAGAGTAAATGTGAGAAATACATCACTTTGAAATATACTTCCTGAATTCCAACTCATATTGTGTACGCAGCCCCAGGAAGGGTATGGAGTCGACAAGGGTGCGGTTAGGATACAAAGAGTTAAAGTCTTTTTCCTGAAACAGTGTTTGTTGGAGATGCATGTGAATGGACTACGGTGAACATTCCATCACTAGCTTGTGCCAGTTAAGATGTGCTACTTTCCAGGAAGAATTGTTTTTGGTCTACACTACTAAGGAACAGGAACAACAGTCGGCTTAAGGAACCAGTTTTCCATTGTGTGTTTGGATGTAATTTCGTTCTTTTTAAATTTTTTTTTCAAGTTTTAGAAACAAGAGGGTAAGCCTTATCATCCTAAAACTACAATAATGAGAAATCCTAATATCTGACAAACCTTGCAAAGGTACAGTATCTTTTCCTCATTGTATTTACAGGCATATAAAGAGCGGCTGTATGGCAAAAAGTATGTGTGGTTCATTATCGGCTGGTATCCGGACAACTGGTACAAGATGAAAGACGACCGCCACAACTGTACTGTGGAGCAGCTTGAAGAAGCTTTAGAGGGTCATTTTACTACAGAGGCCATGATGATCCATCAGGAGCCCACAATGACTGATGTGGGTATGGTAAGTACTCATGTTTCTTTTTTCTTTTTCTTTTTCTGCTCTATATTGGTAAGTATAACCTACATGTTTTTTTTTTCCTTTGTCTTTTTTTTTTCATACTGTAAGTTGGTAAGTACGCATGTTTCTTTTTTCCTTTTCTTTCTTTCTTTCCTTTTTTTAAAAACCAGACATAGATCACTTATTCAGGTAGTCAGATGTAACTGACTGGCTGGTCAGACTGAAGTCTCTCACTAAGTAAGAGAAAACACAGAAGGGCAAGTGTGTCGGTACAGAGAACTATAAAAAGGAGTCCCGCTGGGATGGATTCATTACCTCCGATATTTACCTCTCATGACTCATCAAGGTGGGAGAACTTGTGGAAACTTGAGGAAATTGTATGGCTCTCCTTCATTGGTGTATTTGACAGTTTCTTGTTTATTCATAGTATTCTGTTAATGATGCTGCCATAATACCAAGTGGCATCACATCTTAGTTCATTAAAATGCTTCCTTAACTCTTACAAGTTGTAAGAAAAGTTTAGTATGAAACATGAAAACATTAGCGTTTAAAAGGACATTAGCGTTTAAAAGGACAAAAACAGTTCTCAAGCAACAAGCAAACAGTACTATCAAAGTATTCTGAAAGGATTTAGTTTTTAGTGAATGAGAATACAGCTGTAGTAGAGGCAAACAGCTATTTCTGATAAAAAAAAGTAAAACAAAAAATAATAATGCAACATCTAGTCAAAGCACATGGTGGTTTCTAAGAGTTAAAAGAGATAACAATTGCAGCCCTAGGTCTGTTCCAATTGACTATGTTCTTTTTCTGTATTATTATTATTAATGTTTAAAAATAGTTTTATAAGTTTTGTTTTCCTTTTTGAAGTTTAAAGCTGTTTTCATTCCTTTTTTAAAACATGTCCATGCTTTGAAAATCTTTCATTTTAATATACTACTCTTACAATCCAACTTATACTCTTACACTTTCGCCCCCTCCTACCCACCCAGCAGTAATGGGTACCTGACTTCGAGTTGGGGAAGTAAAGTCGGCGTGGAAAAGAACTGGCCACCCTACCACAATATGCCGAAGGCCCAGGAAGTTGTCTCACTAACAAGGCAATCCTCAATGTCCGGATCGGATGCTGGAACAACTTTACTTTACTCTTACACTGGTGCTGTTTTAGGTTTTCTTTGTTCACACAGGTTTCACGCTAAACTCATGCAGTACTATCAAAGTGTTCTTAAAGGAAGGAAGATTTAATGGATGAGGATATAGTTGCAGTACAAGGATCTTTTGCCTCTGGCTGTTGTTTCACTAACAGTATTTTGACTGGCTGGATGACATTGTCTATTCTCACAGACTGCACAGAACTTCACTTCCCGTCTCAACGAGATCCTGAACACATCAGACACAAGTCTTATCACTGGCTATCCTGAGGCTCCCCTTGCCTATGATGCTGTTTGGGCTGTTGCCCTAGCATTCAATAAAACTGCTGCAAAGTAAGCCTTCAATTTCATTATAAGTCTTTCTGTCTCTATAGGCCTAGTAATAATTTAAGCCTAATAGGTCACTTTTAAGCACAAGTGTGCTGTCCAAAAAAATTCCGTTTTTGAGAAAATCGAAGGTAAAGTTTTTGCACCTTGTTCAGTTTCTTTAAAAGATAAGGAGAGTTTTCTCTAGAACCGAACAAATATACACACCAATAAAACCAAACTTCTCCTGTAGGTAGGGCAATGCCCACTTTTGGTGTAGGTCAAGATTTCTGGAAACCCCTGAAATATGTGTTAGCTCGCTTGTCCTTACAATCGACCAAGTATTGTTTCCAGTATTTCATAGTAATAAATGTATAAGACTTCTAATTGTGTCAAAGTGTTTCTAAGTAAAATAGATTTAGTGCAAAGGAGTTTTTAAAGGATTTGAATGAAAAAGTAAGCGAGCATGGCTTTATTTACATTTTTCCCCCCTATGTGTAATTGAAGGGATAATTTCCATTTCAGTTATTATTACATCTTTATGTACATTTTAATTCATTCATTTGTTTCTTTTTACTATTGTAGACTGGCAGAACGCAATATGAAGCTGGAGGATTTTGACTACTACAATGAGGAAATCACAGATGCTATCTACTCTGCCATGAACTCCACCAAATTTCTCGGTATCTCAGGAAATGTGGCTTTCTCCTCAAAGGGAGACAGAATTGCCTGGACTCAGATTGAGCAGTTTATTAGTGAGTGTATTGAGGAATACAGTATTTGTTCCTTTGGTGCTTTGAAGGTCCTTCAGTTTTGTCCCCTCTTTTTATTTGTTATCTTTACATTTTCTCTTTCTTTTTTTGTTTATTTTTTCCTCTTTCCCCTCTTTAACTCTTTAACCATGCGTTCCCGCGTAATTCTCTATCGTGTTTGTGGAAATGCAACCCGACATATTACGTTTTTAAAAACGCTTGTTTCGTGTCAAATTTATCAATAAAACACTACCCAGACGTAGAATTCATTTATCTTTGACTTTCGGGTCAAACTAAAGGTTTGTTAGCTTGTACTTTTTTATATTCAGCCTGTACCATAATACAATAATAACTTCGCATCGGATGGTGGTACCGTCTAGCCATGGTTACGGACCTCGACTACCGGACGCTGCCACCGTCCAGACATGGTTGAAGAGTCATACATCTCCACTCTATATCTGTCCATAATCGCAGCTGTTGGTGGGTATTCTGGTGTGGTGTGCTCCTTCTTTCCTATCAAATATCTATCATCCTTATCTCCCCTCCTTTTTTGGGTTTGTTACTCTCTTGTAACACCTCTAATCTTCGGCGCTTATATGACCTTATTGTGTTGCAAGTGTCGTAAAACACTTACTAAAAAAACCCCCAAAAGACTAATCGCAGCTGGTTGGTGGGTGACACGAGTAGGTTGTACTTCTTTTCTTTCCACTCTGTTGTTTCTTTGTCTTTATTGCCTTTATCCTAGCATCAAATGATTGTTTTTGTGTCAACGTGCTTCTCTTTACTCTTGGAAAACTGCTCTCACTCTCCCTTTAATGTTCCAGTCGTGTAGTTAACTTCTTCTACTTTTTTTCTGCGATGCTGATTCAAATGCCGCTAGTAGAGTTCAAGACAGACTAATCCTGATGGACTAATGATTACAATAAGGTCAGAATTGCCAAATTAGGCATAAGGTTTGTTTCAATTTCTTTTTACATATATATTTTATCTAAACAGTATATCAGTCTGAAACTGATATAGAACAAGGAAAACCGTATCGAATTTATGAAGAGACACTTTGAACATGTGGTGCCTAATCTTTTTACGGGGCAATCATAACCATGGAGTCAATAGAATTTCACAGCATTGTCATCCTATTCTGTTAGCGGCAAAATGTGGCTGGTTTTGCGATGACTCCATAGATGGCTTTACAGCAAAATCTCTCCGTACTTTTCATCCATAGCTTCTATCTCGTTCCACCATCTTTTCCTTTCTTTCTCCTTCCTTTGTGAGCTTTTTGTCTCTGTTTTGCCTGTCTGACCTTTTCTTTTCTCTTTTACTATTCTTTTTTGCTAATTTTCTCATGATCCTGTTATCTTCAGCTTCACTTGAGTCTGTTTTTGATGAAGCCTTGACTCCTCTTCTGAGGGTGACAGAATAGTGTTCACCTACTGATATGATTGTTGTTGAATATATTGACATGGTAAAATGCTACATCTTCTTTTGTCCATTTTTTTCTTTCACAGTATTTATTTGATCAGTTTTTCACCCTCCTCTAAAAATATGAACTTTTTTTTTCTCAAGATGGTTCCTATGTGAAGCTGGGAATCTATGATGCTGTGGCAGACAGTCTTACCTGGTATAATAAGGAGAAGTGGCTAGGTAAGTTTTTATGCACATACTTCACATCTCCCAAAATTTCTCTTTTGTGCAGCGAATGTATATATGTTACTTTGATATTTTACTTCTGGCAATATTTGCACCTCTAACCTGCAGACACAGTCATAAAACCTTGGTTTTCCCCTTGAATGTTCACTTGCAAACTTGGAGAGTGATGGAGAACAAGAGCATCAGTTATTTCCATGAACTCATTTCTACAATCTTTGTGTAGCTTGCTTTGGCCCAGTTATCCAAATATATGGCGTCAACATCGTGAGAACTTGTTTCATTTGTGCTTGATTTCTCAGGTGGGCGTCCTCCGCCAGACCACACCCGAGTCATCGACCACCTGCGAGTTGTGTCCCGCACTTTGTACTTCTCCATGTGTGGACTAGCCGGTGTTGGCATCCTTGCTGGTCTTTTCTGCCTGGTCTTCAACTGGTTGCATTTCAATAGACAGTAAGTCCTTTTTTTACTCTTAGATTTAGTGAAATTTTGGACAATGACAAGGACAAACAATACTGGATTGACCTCACAGAGAACTTTGTCAGGCTCATCTACAAGAGCAGGGAGTAGGGAGTAGTCCTAACCGAATTATTAATTATGTAATGGCTGCTCTGAACATTTGTACCGACTGGATGAAATGCTTTTGTTTTGGACAGGCTATTTTGTTTATGGCTGCATTTGTAAAAGAAATCAAGACTATTTATGAGGCAGCATGGTGAAATTAGACGCTCGTCAAAATAATGACATTGAAGAAACTGGCATTTTTCTGCCAGTTTGGCAATTTTTATTGAATTCTTGTTTTTTGGCTTAGCACCATTGTTGTGCAATTAGGAACACATTGCTGGGTTGTTTTACTAAAAAAAACGTTGATTAAAGACACAAAAAATGTAAGTTTTCAGTTTTTCAGGAACTTTCAAGATATGGAAATAACCAAACTTTAGTGGCCGTTTTCTGGCTAATTTTACCTTTGAAAACAGGTAACCCCATCTTCTTCAATCTCAAATATCTTTCCTTCTATTAAAAATAGATGGACATTTTTTTTTCACCTGAACAAGCGTTAAGATGATACCATTAGCTCCACATGCCTAAAAATTGATGAGCGCTTGATTCCACCATGTCGTGACACATTTGTTCTTAGTACCAAGTTCTTTAGAAGGCCATATATAGATACAAGGATGATTTACCTATTGTTCATAATTTTCATAAGGACTCGGCCATATTGAAAAGTGACCTATATTGGAGTCTTAAACTGAGCATTCCATGTTTTTGTTTGTATTTAAAACAAGAATTGAGAACATTTCTTTTCAATTCCAAATTTCTATGATGGCTTTATAGGGTTGAAGAATGAAAGTCCATGCTTTGCTTTATCAACAGCATCATGACAGCACTATCAATGCTTGTCTACCATCTACCAGGGGTGTTTGTAGTGCAGTTACGCTCCTCACCTTGCTTTCTAAAGATGTGAATTCAATTCCAACTTGTGAAAGATATATATTCATTATGTATGGAGTGTCTTCATCTTTCTATGGGGCTGTATTTCACACATCCCAGGCAGGCTGGGTCGAAGCAGCTTTTCTCATACAATTATTTATTTTGTGTCAATAGGGCGCAAAAAATTCATAATCATTAATGCACGTATGGATCAATAGATTATATAGCAGTGACAACATTTGTGAGGCATCATAGTGAAATGAGACGCTAGTCAAAAAATGAAATTAAAGAAATCAGCATTTTTCTGCGGTTTGACAATTTTTATCAAATTTTAGTTTTTGGACTCATTGCCTTTTGTCCCATTACAGACCCATTTCTGTGTGGATTTTACTGAAAAATGTTGATTAAAGGTATAAAAAATGTAAATTTTTTTTCCAAGGAGTCTCAGGCTTTATACCGTATAGAAGTCACTAAACTTTGGCAGCCATTTTAGCTCTAAAACCAGCCAATCCCCACCTCCTCCAATCGCAAATTATCTTAATACTTCTATTGAAGATAGTTGCCTTTTTCATCAAAAGCTAGGTTTATGAACAAGCTTTAACATAATACCAATAACTTCACATGCCTAAAAATTGATGAGCGCCTAATTCTTTTGCGTTGTGACACATTTATCTTCCAGGTGTGTTGCGTTCTCCCAGCCGGCCATCAATAATCTGACCGTTCTTGGCTGCATTATTTGCCTGGGTTGTATTGTACTGCTGGGACTGGATGGCAAGTTTGTCTCGGAGCAGACGTACCCTGTCATTTGTCAGGTAAATGGATATTGTTCTTGACGGATTATGATGTCCATTTTTGTTAATGTCTGTTTTACTTTGAAGGGGTAGGCCCTAATGCTTATAATTTATAAAGAACATTATTTGGTTCTTGTACAGGCCACAAAGGGAATCAGACATTTTATTTAGGAAAAGCTAAAACATGTGGATCACCCTTCACCCCCCACTCTCGCACAAACACACAGAACTATGTTTAATACCATAAGTTCATAAATAGGAGGGCCATAGCGGTCATCATAAAATGCAACATTTCCCTTGTTTAGCAGTTCCAGAGACTTTTTTCTGTCCATTTGTTAGCGTATCCGCTCTTTGTACGCACACACAGGATCACTAAAATGAATGACGTACAGGTCCTTGCCTAGAAATTGCTCCTTTTGAGACAGTGACCCCACCCTGTCCCCACATTTCAGTGTAAAGCTTGTCGATTTCTTCCCCCAGCTGTCTAGAAGTCTCCACGTGAGTCTCGCAAAAATGCTCACCCCATCTCTTGAATCATGTTTCTTAGGCGAAAGTTAAAGTGTGGTGTTGAGAAAAATATGTCAACTTTTAAATGGTTTAGGTGTATGCTGTAAATTCCTTATTATTTTTTTGACCCACTTTAGGCTTACATCAAAGAAAACATGTCGGAACCTTAGTTTACAGGGACTTTTATGAGTGGGCTTTTAGATGTTGTTGGTGGCTTAACTTTTTGACTGACTCGCATGAAAGACCCCGAAAGATTAAACAGGGCGATTTGTTTCTATCCCGTTTTAACCACAGGCAGACGAAAGTGAATGAGCTATAGTGATAATCTCTTATGCTTCTCACAGAGAAAATCAACTGGTTAATGTAAGACTCGGCCATAGGCTGTTTTGAAAAATGACGTAAAACAGAGTCTTATACTGAGCAGCCAAAATGTTCTCCTTCCTAACCAGTGTGATTTACTATTTCTTAATTGGTGTCTGGTATCAGAAATGGTCAATAAATGTATGTTCAGACAGGAACTATAATTCATCAAGACTTGAAATATCGTGAAAAATTCCTGGGAATACTTAGACCAAATGCCAGCTTTGTGAGATTAATCATTACTTAAAAATTTGCTCATATACACAGATAAGGATACTTTAAAAAAAATACATTCTCACCGCTGTCTGTGTCTCTCAGAAAAATTTGTTATGTGGAAACTTTCGGTCCCATTGCCCTAGAAGCCTTCTATCGGAGCAGATATATATGACTAATTTATCTCCTTGATTTTCAATGTCATTTTCTTTTTTCTACTTTTTCAGGCAAGAGCTTGGCTTCTGAGTCTGGGCTTCACCCTGAGTTATGGTTCCATGTTCTCTAAGATCTGGACGGTGCACCAAATGACTACCACTCGCAAGAAGGAGAGAACAGTAAGCAGGAGAAAAAAATGCAAAATAATAGGAGAAAGTAATGAGGAGAGAGAGAGAAAGGGAAAGAAAGAAACAAACAAACAAAGAAGGAAAGAAAAAAAGAAGGAAATGAAGGGGGATAGAGGAGAGGTGAGAAGAGAAAGGAACCTATATCTATGCAGAAGAGAGGTGAATGAGGAAGAAAGGCAATGAAGCAGATTTTACCTCTCTGCCTGTTACTTCTTTTTCTAAATGTGTTGATGGTCCTGATAAATATAAGATATTGTTATATGAATAAGGTAAGAAAATAAAATCAGAGTAAAGGCACCTGGTCTCAGTCAGGGAATTTGTACCTCAATAGAAAATGTAGTACTACAATCAAGCATAACATGATAACAAGCTCAGATATTGGCATATCATTGCAGGTCGTTCTTTTTGAGCTTGGATTAACACTTTCCGTCCATGCAGCGCATAGAGCACACAACATTTGCCCCCACGAACCAGGATGCAGATGGAGTACATCTGTACTATACCCGTATCTCGGCAAAAATTATATCCCTATCATTATGAGATTTTCAGCATTATGAGAAAACAGAGCCTGATGATCACATCACGAAAAAGGAATTTGCAATCAGATCTGAAAATATTAGATCTAGCACATTCATCACCGCAATTCTCATCACGGCGTTGTGTAAAGCAGCACTCATGACTGGTCTACTCGACATAAAAAAATAAAATTACTCCAGTTTTACAAACAAACTAATTTTTGCCCTTAAAGGCCACTCAAACCATTCAGAAAGGAAATTATAACTATAGCAAGAGCGCATTCTTAAAAAGGAGATCATTCCTACAATGTTTTTGTTGCTATATCACATCGTCACCGATCGGCGTCACGCAAGGGAAAGGGACGCCTTCTTACCATTGCCGATCAGTGTTAACTAGACTTTTCACAGATAACAACAGTGTACTTCACCTAAAAGTTGTTCCCATCAACATAACTTAGTTTTTTGCTCACCTGAGCTGACTAACCATGGTAAGCCCCTTTTACCAACATTTGGTTTACTTACACGCAAATCAAAATGTTTTCATAACTTGGCTCTTTGTGGACCAGAGTTCAATATCCACTGTAAGCCCCTGTTACTAACCCTAACTGATTTACTTTTATGCAAACCAGACAAACCAAAATTTATTTTTGTCTTCAGGGTGTTCAAATTTGGGAGCTGTTCACTGTCCTGGCCATCCTGATGTTACTTGACGTAGGCGTTCTTACAGCCTGGCAAGTGCTTGACCCACTTCAGCGACAGTTGGAGACGTTTGCCCGTGTGCAGCCCACCAACACAGAGGAGGATATAGAACTGAGACCTCAGTTAGAGCATTGCCACTCGGAGAACCTCAATGTCTGGCTAGGTGAGTGTCTACATGAGGCTGATTATTGTTGCTGTTATTGCTATAGAAGGGTCTAAATATAGCGGATTGTTGTTGTTGTTGTGATAGAAGTGTCTTTAAAGAAGAGCTTGTTGCTGTTGTTGTTGATGTTATTGTTGTTATTGAAGGGTCTACATAGAGCAGATTGTTGCTGTAAGTATGGTATAGATCCAGTATTACATGAACTTTTGATCATCAGTCCAGTGCCATGAAAGGGTATGTGTTCAGGATTTGTTCCACTGTTCTTGTTTTCTCCCACACAGTGCCAATAATACAGAAATAGTAGTACTTTTGTTAGATGGGGGGGGGGGGGGGGGGGGGGGGGGGGGAGGCGAAGTGAACCCTGCGTTGACCATGCCGTCTTGATAAAGTCGAACAACATTTTGTGCTACATATAGGTGATGTAGTGATCAGGGAATGTTATTTCCTTTTTCTTTTCTTTGCATTGTCCAACAACCCTTCACAAATTTTATTTTTCTCTTTCTCTTTAGGAGTCCTGTTTGGTTACAAAGGTATTCTTCTGATCTTCGGCATCTTCCTGGCATATGAGACTCGCAGCGTGAAGCTTAAACAGGTCAACGACAGTCGCTTTGTGGGCATGAGCATCTACAATGTTGTGGTCAGTGACACCTATTACTTTTCAAATTTCTTTAATTATGGTATTTATTAACGAATGTTGGTTTCTTTTCTAAGGGCTTATTTCCTCCAAAATTTGGCATTATATATTCAACCCCTTCCCTGTACGAAGTGCATTCCTGGTACACCCTGATCGTTCCTCCACTCCTATGTGCACTGTGGGCATTGGCTATCTGGTATGCCCTTGAAAACCTGTGATTAGTATCTTATTTTAATTTAGGAAATTAAAAACTTAATCTGTTATGAAATTTAAATCTGATTGTGGTCGAAATCATTTTGTCATCCATCTTACAAAATTTATTCTCTGTGGAAAACTAAGTGCTCTGCCTTCTAAATGACCTCTTTTTGTCTAGAATAGTATTTTTGTTAAATTATCTTCAGTTTGTATCTTGTGAAATTACATATATACAGTCGAACCTGTGTAAGACGGCCACCCATTGTCAAGGAGAAAAGTGGCCGGATAAGACAGGTGGCCGTCTTAGGCAGGACTGATCAAGATGAAGAAAACAAACCATTCCTTTCTGAGGTCCCGACCGAAGGCAGCCGCATTGTTGTTGTTGTTGTTGTTATTGTTGTTGTTGTTGTTGCTGTTGTTGTTGTTGTTGTTTTCGCTGTGTTTTTTTTTTCTTTTGTTTGCTGCTTTTGTGCAAAGGCGACAACAAAACGAAATGTGTCAGACAAGGAAGACCGAGTGCTATGGTAAAACAAATACATGGGTCGCCACCACTTGGAGAACGAGCGACGCTTCTGTCACAAGCTAATGTTGACGTCCATTGTTACTTTGTTACAGACTGGGTAAACAGTGACCTCTCATCTCACTTGCGATTTGTGTATGAGTTCTGGGCGGGGCTTATGGATTATGAGGGATCACACTCTTACCTCACCAGTAGCTGAAAATTTGTTACCTATTGGTAAACAGTGGGAGGGGCCAACGCAACACGATCTGTTGGAGGGACTACCTAACAACAACGACAGACGATTGGATTATGATGGTTCACCCACAACGCCAGGGGCCAAAGCACAATTTATGACAAAACATAATGGAGTCACTAAGGTGGCCAACTAAAACAGGTGTTATTGCCCGGTGTGATAGGGGTTGTGTGTTAAGATAAGATGGCCACGGCCGCGTTGGACAGGTGCCCGTTTTATACGTTGAATTATGTAGAAAAAAACGCAAGGGGGGAAACGGAAAGTGGCCGTTTGTACAGATGGCCGTCTTATAGAGGTGGCCGTTAGGGCAGGTTTGACTGTATATTTACATTTTGTGCAGGCCTACAATTATAAGAAAAGTTTTGAAGGTGTGTGGGGTTGGGGAATACAATGACTCAAACTGTTTCTATTACATGGTAGCAAATATTTTACTTGGGTGTTAGTGTTAGTGATTTGCTTTTTCTTTATGACATTATTGTGCTACGCTCTCTCTCTCTCTCTCTCTCTCTCTCTGCAAATTGACATTTGACCTTTATTTGATGACCAGGTTCTCTGTGTGATCACCGCCCCCATCTCGCTGATCATCGGCAACCAGGAGGATGCAACTTTTGCTTTTGTCTCACTGGCCATAATCCTGTGCAGTTTTCTATCTATGGGACTCATTTTTGTACCCAAAGTAAGTCCTTACATTCTGCTGTAATATATTAATTTTGTACACTTGGGTGTGGTTACGGGCGGGATTTAGGGAGGTGTGCAGGAAGGCACAATTTAAGACTAAATTTAGCTGCGTCTCTGCAATTGGTTCGGTGAACTTTAAGACTAGCTGCTTCTTTTTTATGTTACTGCTTGCCAAACAAACCATGTACAGTGTTTCTTTTAAGCTATGTTCATCTTTGACACTCATCGTATTTTTCCACCCCTTTTCACCCTTCTCCTATTTAAAGCACTTACTTTACCCGCTAAGCGTTTTAAATTTGTCCACGGTAATATTTTTTTGCTTTCTTGTGCAGTTTTTTTTTCTTTTAGTAGTGTGAATCAGATACAGTGGCTTTGGGATGGGAGTGTTTATGGGGACATAAAACATAGATATATATCTACAATTATAGTTTTCTTTACTTGTAGTCCAGCAGCTGAGAAACATAAGCATTATCTTTCAATATATCAAGCTTAGTTACATTTTGTTACATAGTTGCACAGCTTGCCTCTAACCAAAAATGGGGATGGAAATTTAGCATCATTAATCCTTTGAGCCCTAGCCATAAGTACACCGGAGGCGCATTAAATTTCCTATATTATGCCTAGCCACAGGTACACCGGTGAGCGAGACCCTACCCCAAACCTGGCTCATCTGGGATTATGCATGAACAAAAAACAGTGTTACTACACAGGACATTATTCATTATTTTGAAGATCTGTCTGAATGAGACACTGGTGGTAGTGGCAAGGGCTACCCTGATAGGCATATGGGATGTGGTCCTGACGATCATATGAATGTTAGTGATATATCGCTGAGGAGCTCAGGCAGAGGGGGGCGTAGCCTCAGGGGCTCAGGGCTCAAAGGGTTAATGGGGCATCTTATTTGGGAGTTTCTCATCATCCAATGTGTCAACACAGGTTTTTAGTGGATATGATATCGAGTTTTGGATTCATTTCTTTTCGAACAGATTATGGAAATCATAAAGCACCCACAAAGAGACGGACAGGAAGTGAAGAGTCTAACGGACTCGCTGGTCAGCCGAGAGGAGGAGGAGAGACATCAGAAGATGTTGGGGGAAAATGAACAACTAAAGAAACAAATAGCTGAGGTGTGTATATGGGCAGGCTGAATGAAGATGTTGTTGGTGGATGTTTGGAAGCTGAGTGATAAGGTTAAGTTTTTTTAATCCGCAAGGCATACTTTACTTTAAGTGGGCATGCGCTTTGAGGTAAGTATGCATGCTTTCAGCAAAAGTACATGACCCAATAAAACAAAATGATTAAACATTCAGCTTTCTTACATGCTCCACTACTCATGCCAGTGCACCAAATTAAATGCACACATACACACTCTCATATACACACATTTTCAACTCAATGTTTACTTCTTTTTATTATTGTTGACAAATGAGATATTTTTGTTCTCATTGCATCTGATTTGTTTGCTTAACATTTACTTCGGGGTATAATTATAATGAGAAAGAATTTTTGTCGAGGAGATGGCTGTATATTTTGGGTGCTGAAAAGAGAAGCCTCGGTTTGTTTCTAAAGGCATTCTTGGTTTTTTATGTTCTCTATATTTATTTATATTATATTTATATAATGTTAACTTTTCAACCAATCATTTTATATTTCTGGTCAATCTGTCAAATAAAAGGAATTGTGGCCTCTGCTTTGGCTGATGAGACAGTTCTGAAAAAAAAAATTAGCCACATTTGCCATTCTTGTCTTCTTTTGTTTTTTTAGATGGAAGATCGAATCCGTGAGCTGAACCAAAAACTTCAGGACAGGACCCGTCAAAGGCACTCGGCCACATCCACCACGACCACCGTCACATCAACAGCCCCCACCAACACTGTGTCAATGATTGTGCCAGCGCCAGGTGGTGTGCCTGTAGGTATCTGTAGACCAATCAACAGCGGCCACGTGCTAGTCGTAGACCCTATGATCACGGAACACCCGCCTAGCGACAAAGCCAAACATCTCATCTTCGCTGACACTGCCGACACGGTAACATCAGCTAGACAGTTTGCTGCGATGACAAGCTCTCACCAGAATCTCACAGACTGCAGTCCTGTAGTCGCTGACGCTAATTCCGACTCGGGTCTCGCGTCGGAGACTTATGGAAAAAATTCCTACGGGAAAAAAGTTTCTTACCCTGATAGTTCGGATATCATTGAGACTATGGGTTGAGGACTAAAGGTTTGCTACTTTCATGAAAATTTGAGAAAGTTTCAGGTTTAAGCTATCTGGTGAGTTCAGTGTTCTGGAATAAGTCTTGGGGGGCTCTCATGGCCTAGAGGTTAAGGTGTTGGCCTCTCATTCAAAGGTCCCGGGTTCGATTCCGGGTAGCGACCAAAAAAATTTTCTTCTCTAAAATTGTCTCCTTTCACATCCTTTCCTGATCTCTAACAATGTTCTGTTGTCTGCTTTCATTTCCACTTTCTGCCCCCACCCCCTCACCTCCTTTGCCCCTTCCTCTGGGCTCCTGACTCTTTCTGCAGCCTTTCTACTGTTACTCCTTGGCTCCTCCTAACTGCTGTCTTTCTGCCACACCCCTGATCTTCTGGTAGGAAAGATCTACACCTAGCCTTCTCGGACAAGGGCGAAAAATCTCGGAGGGCCCGTGTGCAAGTTGCGCACGTTAAAGATCCCTTGGTGGTCTAAAATCGATAAGAGTAGGCTTCGGCCGCCACCCGGGCAAAATTCAAAATTTCCTACCAACGAAAATGTATTAGGTGTGTCCCGCGCGCTCATATGACCTTATGCAGTTGCGAGCGCCGTAAAACCCTATACTAAACAAACAAACAAACAATAAGTCTTGTGTTGTGATTTTATAGATCTTGTTTTTCTTACAGAACATGACTTCTGCATTTCTTGTTGGGAACCGTATCATTAAGTAACTTAAGACGCTGGTAGCTCCAATGAAAAACCTGAAAGATATTTAAATTGCGGATGAACCTGTAAAGGAAACTTTCTTTTACACAAAATCTGAACTTTTCAGGTAGGTACTGTTGTGATAAGGTGATCATGACCTTCAGGGAACAAAGTTATTTGTTTTTATTTTTTTTCCCTCGAGTTATTAGGACGTGTTTGATGACTGCATAAAAAAAAAAAAGATCTCTTCTTTAGTATGAGGGTCCAATTTGCAGAATATTACTTTATTTCCTAAGGACATGATTGTTGTTGAAATAGACAACATTTACTTTTCAAATGTCTTTGACAGGTAACCACAATGCAGGCGTTAGAAACAATCTAAGCCAACTCATGACTTTGAACCAACTCATGCTTAGTGGCTCTGAGAATCTAATGTAATAATAAAAAAATCATATAATAGGCCTATAGGCTGTTCCTTACCTTTCTACTTTTGTCATAACTAAATGAGCATTATGATTCGTTTCATTCTCAGTATGTTTTGATGGGTTGTGCAATATTTTTAGAATTTTTCAAGTACTTGTACCTTATATTATATTCTTTCTGTACATAGTCTACCTGTAGTTTAGTAGTTTGTTTCTACTCTTGTATTGTAAATGGTATTCTGATTAACTCTTTATCTCCGGCAAGCCGCTCTCTGTGGCTCGCGGTCGGAACCACTGTGCGAGTGAGAAACTGACAACGGCTTGGGCGCATTCCTTTATAAGGACTCCGACATCAAATTACTTTTCGGCAAAGTCACTTATACTGCAAGTTCATTCGTTAGATGAAATACTATCAAGATAAGTTTGCTCGTTTTGATTTCTTAACCCTTTTAATGACGTTTTTGTCATTTTTAGATTTAGCATCAAAAAGGGCCCCGGCATAGTGGGTTAACCCCCCTCGAAGAAAAGAGTTAGATCTTAACCTAGTCTGGAGGTTTATTTGATCATGATGCAAACATTTTTTGTTGTTGTAATCAAGTTTGTTTTATGATAGCAGTAGAGGGATTTGGGGCGTCACTCATCAGAAGAAAAAAAATCAGTCCAAGAAAGGTTTCCTTTGCTCCACTGTCCGGTACCGTGTACCAAAAGAACTGGAGTGTTTTTGAGAATAAACAGTTGATGTGAATGGATTTTAAAACTTCAATATTTGAAGTACAATTACCAATTTGTACTCACTATTCTTCTTTTGAGTCCAAAGTGTGACTTGTCTTTCAACATTCTAGTTTGTATATTTATTTTGTGTGTAGCTGAATTTTCAATAAAAATGTGACATTTCAGCAAAATTATATTTATTCTGTTGAATAGGTAGAGTGAATATAATGACTTTGATCAGTGATGATCAATATGAAATTTGAACAACATAACAGCTTCAGTCAGAATATTGAGTTGGCCTAATACTACATTTTTATTGCTCTTGCAAGAGTGTTTCGTAAACAACTTTTTAATTTAGAAGAATCTAAAAAATTATTCCCGATCACCATTACATTTTTAGTCTAGATTCATAATATTTGGCAATAAGATGTCCAAACAGAACTAATTTGAAGTTGTTATGTGTCCTACTTCTTCAGAAAACCAGCAAAACTGATAAAGGAAATCAAAATAAAAAGTTTGGAGGGAGGACAGAGAAATTGTTAACTTTATGAGATATTTTATAATTTAAATGTAGCAGCAGTAGCTCTATTTAAGTCCAATCTTGACAACAATTAAGACAGCTTCTCTTGTCTTTTGAGTAAAAAATAGCTATTTGGACTGCAAGTGAGAGACATCAGTTTTCATAATGCGCATCATCACAGAAAATAGAATGTAATTGAAATTTACAGTGCAGACACTGTTGTCCGTAAAGACTTGAAGATGCATACTCTTCCACTGCACATTTTATGCGATCATAAAAAAGCAGTTTTATGTAATGTGAAGTGGAGGTGACTAAAGGCTTAGAAAATTGGATGATTTTACTGTACTCTGGGCATTGCTCTGTGTTTGGGGAAATTTTCATAACAAAATTATCTGCTGATAAAATCAGTGAAATCATGTTCACCTTGTTTTTATTTGACTGTTTCCAAGTGTACAATCTTTTTCAAATCTTCTCTTTTGCTTATCTTCCTATTGGAAGGAATATTTCAATGTGCTCAGTGTCGCAAAAGCCTCATAAACTAACGTGATTTTTTTTCCAAGTTTTTAAGCTGAATTGATATACAATGTTTTTCTTTCTTTTTTGCTCTCTGTGTGACAGCATTATCTTGAGTATACCTCATATCTTTGGTTGTGTAAATATATTTTCTTGAAATTGTTTTATGTGAATTATACAAATTACATTCAGCAAAAGAGCTTATAGTTAAGTTTATTCATAGGTGCAGTGATTATATTATCCTAGTCCTTATTGACTGTTTTCTAAGATCAAAATCAATGTTTTAGATCTTTTATTTGACCTCATTTTTTTCCAAACAGTATTTTCATTTGTAATTTATTATTAGAGTAGGCTGCCGTATGCGATGGGAAAATAACAACCAACCTGATAAATATTTTATAAACTGTGACTGTTTTGTCTTTTGAATTTAATGAGATTACATCTGATGTTTGTCCAGGAATTAAATCTTAGTTTGTGTTTCACTTTTTAATGCAGGAAGAGGAGTAGATGTAAACATATTTACCGATTGTTAATGAATCTTGAAATTATAGACTTTCTGACTGATGATACATTGTTGAAATTTTGGACACTATTACTATGTTCATGTTTGATAATAAGTTTAGATCTAGTTCCTTGATGAAAGGATTGAATGAAACAGACTTTACTTCAAATAAAATGATTTTGAAACTAGAATTCCTCACACTTGTGTATTTTTATATATAATACATTTAAAATTCCTTTAAAATTATTATTATTATTACAATGCATACTGACTCCTGAGTTTTACTGAGAACCTGCAAGTCAACCTCAGCAATGGTTACAGAACAAGCAAAAAAGAGTCAATCTATTTCTTTCAGGGTGAGCATAACACTGTTGAAATGTCTCACCTGCAATATGATTTACTTCATGCATAGTGTGTGTCTGTGTTTGTGCGTGCGTGTGTGTGTTTGTGTATGTGTGTGTGTGTGTGTGTGAGAGAGAGAGAGAGAGTGTGTGTGTGTTTGTGTGTGTGTGTGAGAGAGAGAGAGTTAATGTATGAATATGTGTGCATGCGAGAGAGAAAGAGTGGGTGTGCGTGTGTGAAAAAACAAAAAACATAAAGCATCAATACTACGGCACAACTGACTATTCAGTTAGAAATGAAACAGCAGGCCGCCAATATTAAAAAATGAACTTGCTCAGTTTGAAAAATCTCTAAGTTTGAATCCAAGCCGGATCCAAGTTGTTGTCGTAGTTCTTTCTAACCACAAAGTAGAGCTTTTGCCTCCTGGCACTGTGAGCTTACAAGGTCAACCCGTTCATTCAAATATCATTAAATGTGTGTAAACATGTATAATCATAAAAGTGGTTGTAGTAGTAATAGAAGTAGTAGTAGTAGAAATAATAATAATAATAAGGGAGTGCTTATTTGGGCCACATATGGCCTAAATAAGGTAAGGGAGGGGGGTTTAGCTTATTTAGGCCACACATGCTCAAACTACCAGGGGACACCCTTTTAAGGCAACTGAGTTCGTTCCACTTTCATAATGGTGCACCTTTCTCATTTAGTAC